CAGGAACAGCTGTTAAAAATTGACCACTGTCTGGAAAATCTTCCAGCTCCTGCACCCAACATCTTGCTCCTGGGGAATTTCAACTTAAGGCACCTAAAATGGAGGAATATAGCAAATAATATTGTTGCAGTAATAACACCAGGAGGCAGCTCTGATGAAAACTCACACTCACACGAGCTTTTAAATCTCTGCACAAAATTCAATTTAAACCAGCAAATAATAGAGCCTACTAGACTGGAGAATACACTAGACCTCATCTTCACTAACAATGATGATCTGATAAGAAATGTCACCATATCAAAAACAATATACTCAGATCACAACATAATTGAGGTTCAGACATGTATGCATGGAGCCCCAGACCGACATAATGAGACTAGTCACGAGGGAGCATTCACCAAATTCAACTTCAATAACAAAAACATAAAGTGGGACCAAGTAAACCAAGTCCTAACCGATATAAGCTGGGAAGATATACTAAGCAACACAGACCCCAACTTATGCCTAGAACAGATTAACTTGGTGGCACTTGATGTATACAAAAGGCTTATTCCTCTAAGAAAAAGGAGGAGTAGATGTAAAATAGAAAGAGACAGGCGTTCCCTTTACAGGCGACGGAAAAGAATAACAGAGCGGCTAAAAGAGGTCAATATATCTGAAATGCGTAGGGAGACACTGGTCAGAGAAATAGCAAGCATCGAACTCAAGCTAAAGGAATCTTATAGGAGTCAGGAATCGTGGGAAGAACTAAAAGCCATAAATGAAATCGAAAGAAACCCAAAGCCATAAATGAAATCGAAAGAAACCCAAAGCCATAAATGAAATCGAAAGAAACCCAAAGTATTTCTTCTCCTATGCCAAATCAAAGTCGAGAACAACATCCAGTATTGGGCCCCTACTTAAACAAGATGGGTCCTACACAGATGACAGCAAGGAAATGAGTGAGCTACTCAAGTCCCAATATGACTCAGTTTTTAGGAAGCCGCTAACCAGACTGAAAGTCGAAGATCAAAATGAATTTTTTATGAGAGAGCCACAAAATTTGGTTAACACAAGCCTATCCGATCTTATCCTGATGCCAAATGACTTCGAACAGGCGATAAATGACATGCCCATGCACTCTGCCCCAGGGCCAGACTCATGGAACTCCGTGTTCATCAAGAACTGCAAGAAGCCCCTATCACGAGCCTTTTCCATCCTATGGAGAGGGAGCATGGACACGGGGGTCGTCCCACAGTTACTAAAAACAACAGACATAGTCCCACTCCACAAAGGGGGCAGTAAAGCAACAGCAAAGAACTACAGACCAATAGCACTAACATCCCATATCATAAAAATCTTTGAAAGGGTCCTAAGAAGCAAGATCACCACCCATCTAGAAACCCATCAGTTACACAACCCAGGGCAACATGGGTTTAGAACAGGTCGCTCCTGTCTGTCTCAACTATTGGATCACTACGACAAGGTCCTAGATGCACTAGAAGACAAAAAGAATGCAGATGTAATATATACAGACTTTGCAAAAGCCTTCGACAAGTGTGACCATGGCGTAACAGGAATAACAGGAAAAGCCGGTCGATGGATCTATAATTTCCTCACTAACAGAACACAGAGAGTAGTCGTCAACAGAGTAAAGTCCGAGGCAGCTACGGTGAAAAGCTCTGTTCCACAAGGCACAGTACTCGCTCTCATCTTGTTCCTTGTGGTGACATTTCTTATCAGATCATCATTGTTAGTGAAGATGAGGTCTAGTGTATTCTCCAGTCTAGTAGGCTCTATTATTTGCTGGTTTAAATTGAATTTTGTGCAGAGATTTAAAAGCTCGTGTGAGTGTGAGTTTTCATCCGAGCTGCCTCCTGGTGTTATTACTGCAACAGTATTATTTGCTATATTCCTCCATTTTAGGTGCCTTAAGTTGAAATCCCCCAGGAGCAAGATGTTGGGGGCAGGAGCTGGAAGATTTTCCAGACAGTGGTCAATTTTTAACAGCTGTTCCTGGAATTGCTGGGATGTTGCATCCGGAGACTTGTAGACTACCACAATGACTAGGTTTTGGTTCTCGACCTTTACTGCTAAAACTTCCACTACATCATTTGAGGCATTTAGCAGTTCTGTGCAAACAAGTGACTCTGCAATGTACAGGCCAACCCCCCCCCCCTTTTGCCTGTTCACTCTGTCACATCTGTATAGGTTGTAACCTGGGATCCATATTTCGTTGTCCAAGTGATCCTTTATGTGGGTCTCAGTGAAAGCCGTGAACATTGCCTTTGCCTCTGCAAGCAGTCCACGGATGAAAGGTATTTTGTTGTTTGTTGCTGGCTTTAGACCCTGTATATTTGCAAAGAAGAATGTCATCGGACTGGTGGTATTGTTGGTACTGGGGGGGGATTTTTTTTCTGGCATTAGTATCTGTATCTGTTGGTTTGGAGTGGAGGCCATTCAGCCCAGACTTTTTATGTTCCCATCTGTTGTAGAAAGCTTCCAGGTTTTCTATGAAAGCAGCTTTGATGTTATCCTCTTTTAATACCCTTGTGACTTTAGTCCACAGATTTATCTCATTTGGGCATACCCAAAAATACTTCCCTGTTTTAATACTGCTTGTAGCTAGTTCTTGGATATCTGCACAAGGGGCGTGACACCAATTTCCACAAAAATGACAATTTATCCATGTGGAAGCCCGTTTGTTTGATTGACTGCAGACTACACAGAGCTTCATAATGATTTGAATGGTTGATTTACTGTAATTCTACTAGCAACCTCTTGAATACTCTATTAATAACCTTAAATGAAGCTCTAGCTATTTGTATTTCTATTTCTAACTGTACTTGTATATTGGACAGCTTACCGTGTACGTTCCTGATTTATATTTATTGTTTGTGTTTGATAAGGGTGTCTACAACCCCATCCGTTTACAGTCTGCTTTATTGTCCAATGAATCCGTTTGTAACCAGTCAAGGGTTCGGACCATCAAGGGTTCGGACCAGTCGAGGGTTCGGACCAGTCTGATCTGATCAGTGGGCCACTTATTTAAAACATACTGGTCGGTGATTTGGGCTAACACATGAAGGATCTACTTGAAATTATCTACCCGAGTAATATGTGATTTGTTTGATACAAAAGTATAACTTATGTGTTGAAGAACTGGTGATTTCTGGCAGCTCCTACAATGATGAACGGTCGAGCCTCAACCCTTGTTTATCAATCGCTGTATCTAGCTTTTCTAGTTTTTTTCCGTCTCCTCCACAATAAATGCTATATTATCACTATAGTTGATTATAGTTTGCCTTGTTGCAAATCTTTGTACTTTCTCTAATTTCTTGACGTGTTTGACCAGGCGTGGGTTCCAAACTGGAGCTGCATACTCCAGTATGGACCTGATGTACACAGTGTACAGTGTCTTGAACGATTCCTTACTAAGGTATCGGAATGCTATTTTCAGGTTTGCCAGGCGCCCATATGCTGCAGCAGTTATCTGGTTGATGTGTGCCTCCGGAGACATGCTTGGTGTTATGGTCACCCCAAGATCTTTCTCCTTGAGCGAGGCTTGCAGTCCTTGACCACCTAGTCTATACTCTGTCTGCGGTCCTCTTTGCCCTTCTCCGATCTTCATGACTTTGCACTTGGCAGGGATGAATTCAAGAAGCCAGTTGCTGGACCACATGTCCAGCCTGTCCAGGTCTCTTTGAAGTCCTGCCTGGTCCTCATCTGATTTAATTCTCCTCATTAACTTCACATCATCTGCGAACAGGGACACCTCTGAGTCTATCCCTTCCATCATGTCATTCACATATACCAGAAATAGCATTGGTCCTAGGACCAACCCCTGTGGGACCCCATTCGTCACAGGTGCCCACTGTGATACCTCATCCCGAACCATGACTCGTTGTTGCCTCCCTGTCAGGTATTCTCTGACCCATTGCAGTGCCCTTCCTGTTATACGTGCCTGATCCTCTAGTTTCTGCACTAGTCTCTTGTGAGGAACTGTGTCGAAGGCCTTCTTGCACTCCAAGAAAATGCAATCAACCCACTCCTCTCTCTCGTGTCGCACTTACGTAACTTTGTCATAGAGTTCCAGAAGGTTTGTGACACAGGATTTGCCTTCCATGAATCCATGCTGGTTATCTTTTATAATCTTACTCCATTCCAGGTGCTCCACCACTCTCCTCCTGATAATCTTCTCCATGACTTTGCATACTATACAGGTCAGTGACACTGGTCTGTAATTTAGTGCCTCTTTTCTGTCTCCTTTTTTAAAAATGGGAACTACATTTGTAGTCTTCCATACCTCAGGTAGCTGCCCAGTTTCAAGGGATGTGTTGAAGATTGTGGTTAATGGCACACACAGTATATCTGCGTGCATGTGCATGTGCGTGTGTGTGTGTGTGTGTGTGTGTGTGTGTGTGTGTGTGTGTGTGTGTGTGTGTGTGTGTGTGTGTGTGTGTGTGTTGTGTGTGTGTGTGTGTGTGTGTGTGTGTGTGTGTGTGTGTGTGTGTGTGTGTGTGTGTGTGTGTGTGTGTGTGTGTGTGTGTGTGTAGCTAATATTATGAAAAATCATTTTACAAAACCACATGATTAGGAATTACACATTCCAGAATTCTTTTTCAGGATTAGAATCACTTATCATTGATTAGCTTGGAATGGAACATACATTTGAAACATATTTAAGCAAGAGTTTTGTAATTGCTAAAGGCAAATGCACTGTTTCTCTGTGGTGTTGCAAAATCTGCCACAGACTTTAAGTTCCACTCAGAATAACCTGGTACAAATTAGCTCTAAGGCTACGTTACTAACACTCCATGTGCCAAGGCTTGGCTCAAGGTCTGCTCAGTCATTAGTTCCATATTCAGAGTGGAATATACACAAATTCTTCAGATATGAGCAGATTTTGTGCTTCTGTGCGGCTTCCTAAATGAGGACACGTAAGAATTTTTGAGCAATGTATGAGAGTTTGTTTCCAAAAACAGTCAGGTATTTTTTCATGTCAATAAAACTACTTGCAATTTCCTTTGTTTTACACTAAATTTATCGTGTATTTTACCACTTCAAGCATAAGAAATATATTTTAAAGAAGTTTTTATAGCTAATTACTCTGCATACTTCTATTCATGTATAATTTTTCATCATGGATAAGTTTCTTAATCAGATAAAATATATATTAAGCCCATTAAGCACAGCAGTATTTTTAAGTTCTTGAGCATTAGGAAATTGTCAGCTTAAGTAATTTTCATCTTTCCACATTTCTGGACTTAACTCGGCAGAAAATGAATTATAACTCATCAATATTTAAAAAAAAAAATGTTTACACAACCTAAGAGAAGAAATCTTTTCTATTGTTCTATGTTCTACATTTATGATTAGCCAACCCTCCTGCTGAGTTCTATACCCAGTACTGGTTCTTCCTGAGCATAGGGTTGGTCCTGGGCTGTTCCTTTTCATAAAGCCCCCATTCCTCGGCTTGCTGAGTATCCGCCCCATATGGATAGCCGGCCAGAAGTGTGTCGTAAGTCGGCTCACGAGTTGCTGTGTCCGTACACAGGGGCGTCACCTGTGCCATCAAGGATAAATAAACAAGGAAAAATTAAATCAAGGAAGAAATTATAGAAAATATTTTTGCAGTTGGTTACCAAATTTCAAAAACTTTGAAGAAGATAAATTAGGTATCATAAAAATGACAATTTTTTTTTTAATAATCAGATCAACTAGAAAAACGAAATACTTTTTAAATATAAATAAAGAAACAAAAGCTGAATAGATTATTAATTACTAGATTCTGGGAAAGTAAACTGTACCTTACACTGAGGCACTGCTGGTGACACCTCACGTGAGGCATCATGGGGCCATGAGGCCTCAGAGTCTGTGAGGTGAGTGGCCAGACCCAGTCCACCACTGCCACCATTATGGTGCATATGGTGGTGCATGTGGTTGTGCCCAGGCCGGGGAGATAATGGTAAATCTGGAGGTTGTCTCTCCATCTCTGACAGGTCATCGGTCATAAATGAATTTGGTCTGGAATCTGATGGAAGAGGTGGTGGTAGAGATGCTACATCAGCATCCATCCCAGAGTCGCTTGTCTTATCAGAGTATAGATGTTTGGTAGCACACCATACTAAAATGATCATAACAGTAATTACCACTACAGCAACTACAGCTGCCATTGCCATTAGTAAATAATCTTTGGGAATACCAAAGAAAAAGCCAGAGTTGGCAGACCCAGAAGGATTGGACTCAGCACTACCATGGACAGAAGGTGGTAGGAGTTCTGGTCGCAAGTGTCTGGGTGGTTCTGCACCCTCGTCAAACACTACTCCTGCTTCTACAAGTGTGAGGTGCAAAGTACCTTCAGCAGGCTGTACTCCAGGTGCGGGCACATGCAGCACATAGTATAAGGCATCATGCAAGGGCTCATCGGCCTTTAACCTAAGATTTCTGGCAATATAATATATTACACCAGCTTTAATTTCTTCATGAGTGAACTCATGAACTTCATGTGAGCGAATTGATCTCTGTATTCGTCGGCTCACTTTTTTTATTCGACCAAAACGAGGTCGTCTTTTTACCTTATAGAGGGGATTACTTCCTGTTGTCGCAGCCAGCTGTGAAGCATTGAGGTGTTCAAGAGAAAGTTGTGTACGACCTCCCACTGCTGCCATAAGTGGCTTGGATTCTATTAATGGTAAAACCACCACCCGCACCTCTACATCTTGCACTGTAGCCTCCCACGTCCATAGATCTACCCTAAAGTTATCAGCAGACTCACTCAGCTCCATCTGCATATACAGTACTTCACCTTTATCCACATTCACCTGTCCAAATGAGTGAACTACTTGATCATTCATGTATAAACGACCAAACCTGGGAGGCCTGGTGACATTGTAGAAAATGTGTTTGTGATTACCATTCGTCACTGCTGCAAGATAATGTGGCGAGATGTAGGAAACAGTGGTAGTCTGGCGAAGAGGAATGACAGAATGATTAACTAGTTTAAGCATTAAAGGTTCAATTTCAATTGTAAACACAGTATATTTTGGCTTGTGCTTTCCATCAGACACCTTGAAATAAAACCTAGCTGATCCATTAGCACCATCATGGGCATATAAAATTCGACCTTTGTTTACATCAAGCTGTGAGAAAGATTGAATGGCTACACTATAGTTGTCAGACATGACAAGGCGGCCATGGTTTGGGGCACTCATCAGCTCATACACAATCTCACTAGGCATGTTGTCAGGATCGGTGGTCAGAGGCTCTCATTGGTAATGACTGCATTTTGTCGGTGAACCACTTGAAGAACAGGTGCTGCAGTCTCTAGTGTGAATGGTTGATCATTCACAGGAGTCACACTTATATTAAGAGTGCCATTGAACAAGAGCATATCAGATGATCCATTACCAGTCAATGTAATAGTAAACCCTAAAGAATCTGATAGTGTATCACTATGGTCATGTTCGTATTTAACACGACCTTTGTCAATATCACGAGCTGTGAATGTATAGCCCTCTGTCAGATTTCTCTTTCGTAGAGTGAACACTCCGTGAGCAGGGATAACAGTCACAGTAGTCACCAATCTTGGTGAGAACCTATCCATGCCCAAAGCCCCAGGATAACCCTCAATGAATTCCACCACTGCAGAAAGGTTGAGATTATCAGGGCGCACTGTGGCTTGTCCCCCTTCTGCTACCACCAGAGGTGCCAACCCTAGGTATCGCTCCAAACCTCCCCCTCCTGGACTAGCCACAGACACCTCCAACGTGAAATTCTTGGTCCTTGAGTGGCTCAGCAAATGGCGTTTCCACATCAAACACAAATATATCACTAGTAGAAAGCTCTGAAAAGGGTTTATTGTGCTCGAACAAAATACGAGATTCATTGATGTGCCGCTGAGTAAAGTTGTCGACAGGTATTCTAACACCAGCCTCCTCTAGCAGCAGCTGGCCTAGGGTTGGAGGCTGGCGTACAATATAAACCACAGAGCGATGAGGGTCATGGTCATTGGTGAAAGTGAGCAGAACAGCTGGGGTAATGGGTTGCTGCGTCATGGGGAAAACCCACAGCTCCTTGTTGTAGTGTAGAGAGAGATACAGCTCCTTAGCGGTGATAGTGAAGATCTGAGACCCAGTGCTATGGATCTGGTCACTTGCTTCCCAACCGAACATACCAGACAAACCACAAACAAAAAAAAAAATGAAATATTTTAAAATAGGGTCGGCCATCTCTAACCCGGCATCACTAGGACCTTTAGTGTCCAGTTGGGTTTGCCAGATTCAGAGTTTTTTAGGTTAAATAAACTTAATTAAACCCCAAAAACGGTCCAAACGTATATATATTTTTTTACCTAGTGCCCCAAACGAATATACTTTTTATTTGTCATACATTCAAATTGCCATGAAAACCTGAGTTGCCTAGACTGAGGAATGGGTATGAGCACTACTGTGCTCCATATTAAAAAATTGGGGATGCCTGGGTACCATATGTCTTTTTTCCTATTAAAAAAAAAAAATTTTTTTTCTCTCAAAAAGTTGGGGCCCCACTACGGAAAGGAAAATATTTTTAACGTTTGGACTGTTTAGGGGTTAAACCCCTATCAAAAGCTTTCTCCCACATCTTCCCATTCCACATGCTTTTCCCCCCCACTGGCTTGTCTGGATTTATAACTTTGCACAATTTCTGAGCAGAAAGATGAAATTTGAGTCAGTTAATGTTTTGAGTCAGGTAATATGAAATGAAATATGCTACCCGAAATTGTCCAATTACTGATGGAAGGGGATAACTGATTGCTTGATTAGTGATGGCCGACCATAAAAAAATTTTTTACATGCAAATTTATATAATAAAAAAAAAACAACCATTGGCTTTTCCATCATTGTAATGAAAATGTTTCTCCCATAACATTAAATATAAATTGTTTTTAAATGCTCTGGCATTATAACATCCTAAAAAAATATAAATAAAAATAGAATAACTACATTAAAATTTCTTGGCATTTTGTGAAAAGTAAAAAATTTTTGGAACTCGTTATGACTAGTATATTAAAAGCAAATTCAGTTGGGGTACTGATAGTCAGTGGGGCCCCGCTTTGCGGTGTTCCGCAAATACGGACATTTAAAATTATGCCAAAATTCGTTTACGGCTCCCACTTTTTTTTAAATTATGGCGCAGCACCCCCGTTTGTTTACATTCCCCTGACATCCCTTTTATGTCTGGAAATTTCAAAATTTTCAAGTGTTTTAAGATTATTGTATATTTTTTTTGCACTGTACTTGTAATTAAACTTGTGTACACGTACCTAAATAAACTTACAACTTGCGGGCATGCAGATATACATTAAAACCCTAAGAGTCTTTTATCTTGTGCCAAAATAATAAATAATATAATAATAAAAATATAATAATATAATAAAATTGTGGAAATTTATTTGGCCCAAAGTTCCACGGGGGACAGATCCAGAGGCCCGTATGGGACGGGGTGGAGGGCCCCCTTATCCCCCCCCAAAACAACAGATTCTCTTCGTTGGCATGGATTGTTGGAAAGGTTATTTAAATTTTTATAGATTTACTCTTCAGGGAAGGATAGGTATTTTACTGGTGTACACTAATATTAGGATTTTAAACAAACTGTAGAAATAAAAATTAGATTAAGACCTTAACATAGGTAGTAATGGGCCCCGTAATTGGGCAAACCTAGGATAAGTTGCAGGGAAAACGGGCAGCCCTACTTTGAACAAAGGACGAGGGTCGGGAAGAGGACCGCTCGTTCTTCTTAAGCAGACAAAAACTGGACAAGACTTTCCCGGGGACCAGCAGCGGCCCCCCCCCACGTGTCTTCACATTTGAACCTGGGGAAATCGGTAGAGGCACCCCGATGTACGTAGATGACCTCCGTCAGGCCCCCTCGTAAAGACAAGACCCCCACTTTTATTCGTAGATTTTGGCCCGTGTTGGGGAGATTGTGAGTGAGTTGATTGTGGGCTGTGTTGCACTGGAGAGCATGCCCGTAAGTACCAGTGTCTCGAGCAGTCTGGAAGTAGTGTCCGTGTCTCATAGTTAAATGGGATCAAACCTCTTGGAATAGGGAATTTTTGGGGTGCGGAGGACATAATAACGATTGAATATTGCAGGGAAATTTGGCTCCCGGGTTGCACGTGGTTTGAGGGAAAATCCCAAAGGGCTAAGGCAAAACTTGGAAGTTGGGGTCGGATATATGCTGCACATAAGTAATTTGTCCTTTTTCGGCATGAGGCGAGTTTCTTGCAACAACAATCATTTGTGAAAATTGTCCTATAACACTTGTGAGGTGAGGTACCCACCCCAGAGCTCAGTGTCAAAGAGTTTGCCAGGTAGGGACTCACTTGGAGGCAGTCCACACAAAATTTTTACAAAAATAAAAAAAACAAAAATAAAAAAATAATCTCTTGGGTGCATTAAAGTGCATATTTGTTAATAAGACATTTCCTTAATCTGTCTATGATTTTTTTCAAAATTTATAAGAAACACATTTTGTAACAACTGATACATGGGAGCCCCAGCAAGCAAAACAAGGGTGCTCCTAATTTGCCGTCCCTGGCCCATCCGAACCCATGATGGCCAAATTTGCAAAACTGCTGCAACAAATGCAAGGAACCTTTTGTGACATAAAAAAATGACGGGACGACAACGAAATGGATAAATATGACAAAAGAGGGGGGGATTCAAGTACCGACCCGTGCCCGAGTGTCAGCATGAGACGTTTTCCCCACATGAATTAACTGACCTCATATCAAAATGCACTAGGTTTTAAAGGGAAGACAACTGGAGAAAACCTGATCAACAAATCTCCAAGGAATGACAGGTCCCTAGGACTTTTTTTTCATGCCAAACGGGGAAAGAATTGTGATTTTTAACATGGCTGACCCGGGTAAACAGCACTACTGCCCGACGTACAATAGCGAAGTGAAATTTCATCTTGATGACGTTCTTGTGACAGGCATCTATCTGTACCCCCATCATATCACCTGTACCCTGCTAAGAAGGGGAAAAATAGGAGACATCCCTCAAATCAACGTACAAAAAATCCATGGTTATAGGGCGGTATCCCTCAGTGCCAGCTTTAGAAAGAAATGAATAGTTTAAACAGTAAGGTTAATGTTTTAGTACTGATATATTTAGCTGCCAGTTTACGTGAGAGAATATACAGAAAACAGGTTGGGGGGCGTTACTCCCCTCAGTGTTTTAAAAAAGGGTGGTCGCAGAACAGGTCGGGAACAACAAAAACCACAAACCCCCCAAAATGGGAAATTTGGGGGGGGTTTTGGAAGGGTAAAACTGGATTAAACTTTCTGATTCAAATGGAAGGAGTTTGAATTAATTTGGGGAAGCCAGACTGGAATTTAATGGGAAGGGGGGTGTGTAATAAGGGGTTAACTGTAAGGGTTTTGTGAAGTTATGGGAAAAGTGAGCAGTGAAGAGGGTTTTGAAGAGGGAAATTTTATTTGTAATTTATTGGTGATTGCTAAAGAGTTAAGTTACTAGGGCCGAAAAGAGAAATAAAAATTATTGTATATGAGTAAATAGCGAAGAGTGAAAATGGCAGGCATTAGGGGGGGGAAGGTGCCTAATTTATTTTTATTTTTCTTCATTCCATGAAAAAAGAAATCAGTCATGGGGGCTGGAAAAGGGAAGGGGTAAAAACGCCCTGGCAGTAAAGTCCAAAAGTTTTCCTCCCCCCAGAAAAGTAAATGTCACTTTGCGCAAGGTAATTGGGAACCCGATACCCAAACAAAAACTGGGACCAGCTCTTATTTTAGCCCTTAAGGGTGTTCCCAAAAAAACCGGACCTCAATATTGTCAGAGGCAAAACAGACAGATAAAAGACGGCGACAATGACGGTCTAGTAGCTAGGAATGATAACCTTAACTCCATATGTAATGCATACATAGGTCAATGTGAGACAATACAGCCATTATTATCTCAAACACTACCAAACAGGTACATACACTGTACTAAAGTACGCATGAAAAACAGAAAAGGCACCTTATGTAAAATGGTAAGGGGTGGGTGCATGAGGGTGTATGTACAATTATAGCAACGGTGCCAGAATTCATTTTGTGTGTAACAATGCACTTTGGCACAGTTACCCTTTAGAAAGTGATGACTTGGATTTACCTAATTTTTTTACAAATGACCCATTGCCATATATTGATGATTATGATTGTTTTATGAAAACAGGCCTTCACTTTATTCATGTC